CAACAGCATCCAACCAGCCCCACACTGCCTACCTGAATCTGCAGGCTTCGCGCCAGACCCTCCGCTGCTGCCTTTGCCCCAGCTCAGCCGCCCACCTGGCGCAAAGAGCTGGTTATTGGTGTCGATGGCTCCAGGCTGCAAGTGGAAAGACAGAGTCAGCTCCAAACCTCACACCGAGGCAGGATCTGGGCCAGGCACCCAGCTCACCTGCCCATATCATGTCCTGCAGCCTCACCTTGGTGATCTTTGTTAGCCGGCTGGTGTCGATGGGCCGGTTGCCCTTGCTGATGGGCACCGTGTTCCAGCCATCGTCTGCAACCAGGCTCCCACGCCCACCTGGGCACAAAGGGACAGATATAAGGCACAGCCAGGTCTCAAGCAGTAGCCAGAGGGAGCAACCCCTCCCCCGGCAGCCTCAGGTGCCCCTAAGCCTGAGCACTCACTGCTGGAGGATGGCCCAGGGGGTCCTCTCCTCTTGTCCTTTGACATGAGCTGCTGCACTTTGATGTGTTCCCGATGCTCCTCCATCTCCGCTTCCTTGTGGATCTGGTCGATGGTTTTGGGGCCCTGGTCTCCTCGCCGCGGCACCCAGCTATTCTGCAGAGGGCAGGAAAGGAGGAAAGACAGTGCTGAGCTGGCTAGAGGACAGAAGTAGAGCCATTCCCCCTTCCCAACCATACCAGCCTCAAAGCCTCAGGCCAGACTCCTGCCTCGGCCGTTATAGCTCCCCAAGCACTGTGGCAGCTTTTGGCACAAAAGGGCTCAGTTTCTGGAGCCCCCCTGCATTAAACAGCTGCCAATTACTATGTGCCCACTACCAACTACCATGCTAACCAAGGGCTAGGGGCTAGCATGGTGTCTCTGGGGCTGGCCATAGCCTACACACCCACCTCTTCCTCCCGAGGACGCATGGACTGCTGGCACTTAGAGGACACAGGCCAGCAGCTGCATGGGACCAAGAAGTGGACAGAGAAAGTACCCAGGCAATAGCAGGCCATGTGTCTTACCCGTCTGAGGTCAATCACATCCTGCAGCATGAAACGGATTCGGGATGATGTCTTCTTCTCTTTGATAATCTTCTCCATCTGATTGAAGTACTGGTCCATCCTGGGCTACAGAGGGACAGAGTCATGGTCACATCCCTCCCAAGTGCAAGGGCAGGGCAAGGCAGAGCAGGGCAAAAGGTACCTTGGCCTTCTCAAAGTCCAAGTCCTTGCCAATGGTGGTAAGCAGGCGGCAAAGGCACTCAAGAGACTCCTCATCATGGTTTTTGAGCAGCTTCACCACGCAGTCGTGCATGATAGCTTCTGTCAACATCTTCAGTTTGAAGAGCTCTCCGATGAACTTGATGTTGCCCAAGGATCGCCGGCGGGCCTTGTCCCGCGCCTCCTCCAGCTCATCCTTCATGCGCGCCTTCTCCTCGGGCTGCAGGGGGTGCACAGCAGGGCAGCTCAGTTCCCCCCCCCCCCCCCCCCCCCCTGCCACAGCCTCCCAACCCAACTCACAGCACTGGCATCATCCATCTCCTTCTGCCGCTTCTCAAAAATCTCATCGTCATCTTTATCCTTCTCAAACTCCTTCTGGCAGCGGTTGAGCAGCAGCTTGCGGAAGTTCACAGTCACCGTGGGCTTGTCTGTCGTGGGCACTTTGAGCTGCAGGGAGAGGTACAGCCAGGCAAGAACTGTGAGTCACGGCTCCCCCAAAAGCTGTCCAGCTAAGGCCCAGGCACTGTCCAAACCAGGGAAAAGGCAGCCTACACCCTAGTGATGCTCTGCCAAGACTCTGGATTTGGTCCTCCATCCACGGGGCCCAGTTTCCCCATCCCATGTGGAAGGACCTGTACCCTGCTGAGCTCAGCTGGGGCCCCACAAACAAACCACTGCCAGTTCAACGAGACACCCCCCCAGCTCCTGCTCACCCCCATAAGGCAACGGCACATGTTAGCATAGGCAACAGAGAAGTTTGGCTCCGAGATGGCCTTCTCGAAGACGAGGTCGATGACACCCTTGAGCCGCTCCTCCGTGTCGATGGACAACTCCATCACCTGCTTCATCAGCTGCTGGAACATCTGGGGCGTCAGCT